CTAGGCTCGCCTCAATTCTCGCCTTTCGACTGGTCGCAAAGCGCCATTTTACACAATACCTTCTTTGATTAGACAGAAGCCTGGTCGCTTCGCCTGGAGAACAATCTCCAGTTACAACTGGGACGGATTTTACGATCGGGTTGATTGCTTGTGTTTTATGTTGGATAGACGGTACAAAAAGTTGCGTTTTATTCTCTGTTAGATTGGTAAGTGAATCCTTATGCTCCGTGCCTAATGCCGCTCGTCCGGGGACAATGTGCTGACCACACGGGGTGGCGCAAACAGACGCGATCACGATTTTCTGCGATTTCTACTTGTCTGGGACGGACGGCGATACCCAAGTTTTTATACTGGTTCCGGGCTTGACCTGAATTTGTACTTTTTCCACAAGGTACGTATATATTTCTCGGTATCTATTTGTGTGGTTTGCGTTGCGATCGTGGTCCGTGGCCTGGCCTTCCCCGCAATTTCCCCGGAGAGCTATTTACTATATGGTCCCTCGACTGTTCCATTTGTCACCGCTGCCCTCGAGCAAGCCTATGACACGAAGCTCTTAGCCCATCCGAGATAAGTACGGACGAACGGGCAGTTGTGTGCTTTTTCCAGCCTCAGGTTCAGTGGCTCCTCTAAGAAAAATTTCCCCGGGAAGTTTCTGAACGGGGACAGCCCCTGGAATCCAGGCATGAAAATAGCATGATCCCATTGAGCGCATGTGAAGCGGGATTCTACTGGGTTTTTGGGCTTTGATCATATGATCCGCAGGAAGCTCCTGAGGCTGGCGTTTTCCAGGCCCATGGGTGGCTGCCCGTCTCGCCACCCACAGCTGCTTCCCCCAAAACTTACTCAGCATACACGAGCTACACCTGGGCTCGTCAGGCTTCCATGACTTTTATTTCCTTTTGCTCGGCGAATCCCATTCCCCGGCTGAATCTCCTCGTCCCTCTTACACTTTGACTTTTATATTCCTCCCTCCAGCATTGGACTGTCCCAACTTTTGTGCATCTGCCTCAACAACCATCAGCCTGGGCTAACTTATCATGCCGCAAGCAATAGCTTATACCTCTAGGAGCTCTTATTTCAAACGGAATAATTCACTCCAGACACGGTGGTTTCTGATTTACTATTAGAGTGTTTTTGCCTCGTTGATTTTCGCCCACTCGATTTGAATCGAAGGTAAGCACTCCTCTTGGCTATAATTTGCCGTGCGGTACTTACCGGCTTCGAGTGAATATCCCGGACCTTTCATTGTATTCTGAAGAGGTCAAGCGTTCGTTACACGGATCGAGTCATTCACGATCTAATATCCTCTGACGTCAGTTGTCTCTGTAAGTGAACCCCAATAATGGCTCTATATATCTTAATCTTATCTCTTCCATCTTGCTCTCCTCTCCGCCTTGCGACGTCCACTTCCTTACTCTCAAACATTTCTTCAAGCCACTCCTCTCATCTCAGCCCATGTTGAATCTTCTATCACTCGGAAATTACTGACAAATCTATGGCCAGTGTACTTTGCGTCTTGCTATACGCCGTCTACCAGTTCTTATTAAAACATCATGGCTGCGCCACCCGGCAAATCCACTGCGCAAGCGGCCAAGCCTGTCACTTCGTCGACTCCGACCAGTAACGTGTCCGCCAGGCTAGAGAAAACCCACCCTGGCGTTCGCCGATCCACCCCTGATTCCGAGGCTTTGGCGTCCTCTGATGACGATGGAGACCATTCACAGCATGTCGCCACATCTACGAGCATGCCAGCGCCCAAACCTGCTCGCCGTACGTCATGGCTAAATGAAATTCCAGCTACCGCGACCAGAAAGGCATCATTGACCACTAGTGGTCCCTTGTCCACTGGAGCCTCTAACCCAAGCAGTCCTGCTACCGACCAATCTGGATGGCCGAACACGAGTCCTGGTATCGGTAGCTCCATGCCCTGGAACCATGTAGGGAACCCTTCCTTTCCCTGGGGCACTGGTATCTGGAATACCGAGTCTCGAAAGGAGCCTCCGCCGCGGCTTGCGGAAATCGTCCCATCTCCGACCATGTCCAACCCCTCTACTGCGAGCAATTATTTCACGGAGGAAATACTGAGCCCTACGACTCGTACGACCGCTGGCGAATCGGCTATCCCATTCTCAATTCCTCTGCATCCGACTCCTAAAACCTATCGGTCGCAGTCATACTCGGTAGGTCAGTTGGATCCTGAGTTCCTGAGCTTCATGGCGAACAAGGCGTCAACACCTTACTCTGGCGGTCGTCCTCGTAACGGCAGCCAATTCTCCGCCTTACAGCATCGGTCATCGCGGCCTAGTCTTCTGGGGGAGCTGGGTCACGACCCCGCTACGCTCGGACGTGTGCGCGAGGATGATGACGATGACGCTGGCAGCCCAGATGGTTCGGACGGTAGCTTTAGCAACTATGCAGCCAACCAAGCCCGGACCATCGAACAGCTGTCAAGGGAAAATGCTCTTCTACGCCAAGCAGCAGGACAGATGGACAACCCAATGAGAGATCGTACCATGTCGACTGCATCCGCAGCTAGCGGATATGCCATCGGAAGTGGCATCCATAATTTGCACCGTATTCGCGGCAGTGTTCCCGAGGAGACCGACCTGGCGGTAGAAGATCTTGACGAGGTTGGCGATATCCCTGGTTACAATAACATTCATAGTAGCGGTCGGAGAAGACTCTCCGAGCATTCAGCAAATCTCGAGAAGCAGCTCCCCCCTTACACGTCGTTCCAAAACCGTACTCTGGAAAACGTCCGCAAGGCTCATTGGCAAACTTCTCTTGACTTTGGTAGCATTGCGGATATCCCTCAGAGTCGACGTCACTCCTTTGCGGACATTCCTATGCGACACGCTTCTGTCTCAGGGGAGACCCAGGCAGCCCCCAGTACTAGGGCTGGAATGGGTGATAGAGAAGAGGACTATGCGAGCATTGTTGACGGCCCTCTTTCGAATGTTCAAGGCCAGAATCGTGAGTATCCTCGTTTTCATGTGGCCCCTCGTCCCGAGGAACATGAAATGGAGACGGAGTATTTACGAGCTCGTCGATTTGCAGAAGCCTATTTTGCTCGCGACCCAGTTCTCCGCGCCGCCGACGGCCCCGCTTCGATGGCCACGTCCCTCCACCAGGCATACACGATGCCGAACGCCTACGGCCGCCACCAGCCTGGCCTCGCCCATTCGCACCAAAACCAGCTCCTGTATATCGTTACATTCAAATGCCATCGGGCGGATGTCTTTTATATCCAGGAAGATACTGGTCTCCAGGTGAAACCCGGTGACCTCGTCATCGTCGAAGCCGACCGCGGTACGGATCTTGGCACTATACAGCACGCTAACGTGTCTATGCAAAGAGCCCGGGAGCTGAAACAGCAGTATGCCGAGGAGCACTACAAGTGCTTGATGATGTTCTCTAGACAGGGTCAGAATGGGGCCGCGAATGCGGTCAATGCTTCTAGTGGTGTACCCGGCTTGAACAACAGAAGCGCCATTGGTGGCATGGGTCCACATGGTCCGCATGGGATGCAGGACTCTGCTGCCGACATCAAGCCTAAACTAATTAAGAGGCTTGCCCAGAATCATGAAATTCTAACTTTACGTGAAAAGGAAGGAAACGAAGCGAAGGCAAAGCGGGTCTGCCAGCAGAAGGTTACCGAGCATCGGCTGAATATGGAAATCCTTGATGCCGAATTCCAAATGTAAGTTCACTTGTGTCGTTCGGCACAGTCAATCACCTGCTAAACAGGACTTTTTCACTAGGGACTGGAAGAAGCTCACTTTCTATTACTTTGCGGACTCCTATATCAATTTCAATTCGCTTGTTACCGATCTTTTCAAAATCTATAAGACCCGCATCTGGATGTCGGCTATCAATCCAGCGTCATTTGTGACGCCCCCCAGTGCTGGCTTGTCGGCTCCAAACCCTCTAGCTTACAATCACGATGCGCAAGCGGATCGCCCTCTTGACGGCCGAATCTACGGTCATCCTCGTGACGCCATGGGCACAGGACGTGACATCGGCGCCAACCAGATGGGGATGTTGCGCAATGCTTATGCCGACTCCTATCAGCCGTTCAGCCAAGCCTCTCGCCAAACAGAGCTAGGTGGACTCGCTTCTGTGGATCCTTTTTCACCCTACTCGGCGAACAACTATGGCTCTTTGGAATCGGGATACGTTGATTACGGCGCAGGTACGGGCGCAAGCTCTGGGCCCTCCCGCCTACATGCTGCCCCCAGCGAATGGATAAACAACCGTTTCCAGGGGTTGTCCCTGAATTCCTGAGGAATACCATGCGATTTCTCTGTACAAATTGATTCAATACCGCTGTACATCGAAAGCAGCTTTTCTTTCTATCGTCTTCTTCCGCCACCTATGCAAAACTTATCCTCCTGTCTCCCAAACCCTGAAGAGGGACCACCCGCTCCGCTTTCATGTATTCAGATTTCACTTTTCTTGTCGTTTACTCGCTGACTTCGCTCTTTTACACCATTACTACATCTCTCTTTTCTAATGTGTTTCCTACAAGAGATTAGAAATCATGTGCAACGGATCAAAAGGAAAGACTCATGACCTGTCGTTAGTGCTGATACTTAATCATAGACTTCGGCTTTGATGGTCTAGAGGCTTGAGCATGTCCGTCTCGGGCTATGCTGCAAGCCATCAGATCATTGCCAATTAAATGGATCGGTTTTCTTCTATTGTCTCCTAATTGCTAATTGTGTATTATGTTAATGCCAAATTGGCCCTATATTTACCATCTGCGTGGTTGTGAAGTCTCCATATATAGGCTTGTCAAGATGGGGTTAAGGCTCGTTGCTGTTTACTTTCACGCGAGCATGCCATTTTCAACTCCCAATGATGGGTCCTTGACGATAGAATCAATCTCGTTTCTTTCTGGGCGGTGCATGAGCCAGATGAAGGTAGCTTATAATTATTAGAAAGGGTACAACATTTACGTCTTTCATTTTCAATGCCTATGGTATCACGTAAGAAGAGGAATGGGTCTATCGTAAGTTGCTGAGGTCTAACAGCAAGGATGAGTGTCTGAAGTGGTTGCCTTGTCGCCTTACGGTCGCAAAAAGCGTAGAAAAAAAAGACTAGTAGTAATAAGGCAGGCGGTGTGCATTAATACCTCAGGCATTAAAACGAGACATAGTGCGGACGTTGATTGGTTAGAGTGGGGGCTCGCCTAATTCTCTAGCGTCCCACACACAAGGTCGTTGAAGAGACTACTATCTTTGCTCCTCCAACTTTTCAGCTGTGACAACCGACGACAATCGACGACCTGCCACGCCGACAAGGTACGTTCTATCGCGCCCTTTCGCTGTGATTCCTGCTGCGATACAACGAATCGCTTTGCAGCCATCAAGAAAAAGAAAATTGAGCACGAGAGACTGATATTCCGATTTTCGTCCAGATGGGTGCCCTCAAGTACGTGGAAGAGATCCAGAAGAAGAAGCAGTCCGACGTGATTCGCTTCCTGCTGCGTGTCCGTTGCTGGGAGGTGAGAATTCCCCCCTTATATTGCGATCACTTAACATCCCGCCGGGTGCTCGTGTAGTTTGCCATAGGATGCCCTTCTTGAATAGAGAAATGGTGTTACTGGGCGGCTCGAAACGAACTTTTTTCCCTTCGCCGGCGGATGGATGTGGCACAAACAGAGAGACTTGAGAGAAGCCTCATGTGTCTTGCTATACACTCGTTGAACTTTGCTGAGAGTGCATCAATATAGCTCCGTCAACTGAACGCTATCCACCGTGCTTCCCGCCCCTCTCGCCCCGACAAGGCTCGTCGTCTCGGCTACAAGGCCAAGCAGGGCTATGTTGTCTACCGTATCCGTGTGAGACGCGGTGGTCGTAAGAGACCCGCTCCTAAGGGTGCCACCTACGGTATGTATATCCTATGTTCTGGATCGATTGGAGTCGGATTGAGGCTAATTCATTTGCGACTACAGGCAAGCCCACCAACATGGGTATCAACCAGCTCAAGTACCAGCGCGCTCTCCGTGCTACCGCTGAGGAGCGTGTTGGCCGTCGCTGCGCCAACCTGCGTGTCCTGAACTCCTACTGGATCAACCAGGACTCCACCTACAAGTACTTCGAGGTCATCCTCGTCGACCCCCAGCACAAGGCCATCCGCCGCGATGCTCGCATCAACTGGATCTGCAACGCGGTCCACAAGGTACGTTATGATTGCCCTTGGGAGGTTCGCCTTAATTACATTTTACTGACCTTGAATGCGTTTTATAGCACCGCGAGGCCCGTGGTCTTACCGCCACCGGCAAGAAGTCCCGTGGTATCAACAAGGGCCACCGCTACAACAACACCCGCTCTGGTCGCCGCCACACCTGGAAGCGCCAGAACACCCAGAGCTACTGGCGTTACCGTTAAATGTAGATGGGGTGTTTATTGGGGTTGTTGGTTATGGGAAAAATTTGATCCTGTGGATGTCACTATTTCGATCAAAACTCGCATCTACGGTGCCGTTCTGGAACTGCTGGGGTGTGAGCATAATGCAACAGATCTTCTGGATCGGATGTTAGCCAAAATACCTTTTTTCACTTTTCTCGGTTCAACTGTATTGTTCACCTTAACGAAGTATGACGACCACTTTTACCTTTGTTCAACGATCTGCAGCACGTAGGGCGTAGCTAAGGGTATGGGGTGGACTGATCCATGTAGACCGGTTTTTTGCTTCTGCCGATCAGTGCCAGGTGCCTTGGCATGTGATTGAGTTGGAAAGGGACGGCGCTACGCTGTGACTGCACTATAGCCCTGTCTGGGAACCTGCGGGGGGGAAGGGACACTGTTGAGTGGTGATGTATGGTCTGTATTGCAGGACCTCCAAGTCCACCTGGCAGCAAGAGTCTTAGACCCCAGTCGACCAGTGTCGCTGGTTGCAAACCAGTAGGATGGAGCCCAAGAAGAATAAAAATAGTAGCGTTGGCGTTTGTCCCAAAGGCCAGTGAAACCCCGACCGGCGCCCGACGTTGCCTTGAAGCCCACACAGTTCAAGGCCCGTGGTTCGTCCAGTCAGCGCCTATGCTTGCCGGCCTCAGGCAGCCAAGTCTCGTGCGCCCATCGCAGCTTGCGCATCCGCCGGGCTAAACTGGGTAACTTCCCCCCCCCCTCAAAGGTGGGAAGTCAAACCCACTTCCTTACCAGGACTCATTTCTTGCTCCATCCCTCGTTTTCTCATCTCCCTTGCCCTGACGTCTTTCCTTCTAATTCATCCCCTGTTTGACTTCTTTCCGCTTTTGTTCCAGGGGCGCCCTCCATTTCCTCGTCCTCGACCAAGCTCCACGTTACATCCCCCTCCTCTCCTCACGTTACATACTACTACCCCCGAAACTCCCCTCGATACCTTACTCATCAGCTGTTTCTACAATTAGCTACACGCTCTTTCTTTCTTCCTGTTAAAACGGTCTCGACTTAAACAAATCTCCTTGCCACGAACTCCTTAGCAGAAAACTTGCCTCGTGACACTGAACCGGATTTACTTATCGTCCACGAACAACGAAGCCCTATCTACCCCTGCTTATCGCAGACCGTACCCTGAGATTTATACATTTTCTTCGCCATTTACCACACCCCCAATTCGCGTGGCACAACCAAACACAACTTCAAAAACTAAATCCCCTCGATTTATCGAAAGCTGGGGACAGCAAATGTGCCCCATATGCCGTCTCGGACCCCATATAACCCATCCTATCCCCCGACCTCCGGCTCCCCGTCTAGTCATATCCGTTCGGCTGCAATTCCCTTCCCGGCAGAAGGAAACTCGCCTCATCGGATACCGCAAGATGGTTCAGGTCTTTCGTCCATGACTGGAAATCCAGCGACTTCACCCCCTCATCGTCGGGGACATTCTCGTTCCGTCAGCCATCCGTTCCCCTCGCCCTTCGGCGGTATGACGAAGCGGCGCAATCGGTCGATCTCGAAGAAGGATAACTATTTGTTCGATTCCGATGATGAAGATGACGATGAGGTTACCTACTTGCCGGACCCGAACTCGTCTAGTCCTCGTAAAGGGGCCGCGCGTCCGACTCCGTCTGATGAGATGACCTCGGGGAAGTGCATGGTTTGTAACAGTACGGTGCGCTGGCCGCGGAATCTCAAAGTTTTCCGGTGCACGGAATGTTTGACTGTGAATGACTTGGAGCTGTTTGTGGATTCTGGCAAGGCTGGCGGTAATGGCCTTTCGGGGAGTGATGGAAAGGCACCCACCCATACGGTGCCCCGTAAAGGTATAGATTATCCCCGCTAGGCCTGTTTACGGGACAAATAGTGAACTGACTGTGTTTAGCCATGCCACTTTCTATCGAGCGAACAAAAACGATCCTAGATGATTGTCTTTCCAGGTATCTCCGACAGCTCCTGGAACCTCAGCATCCCAATTCTACACCAGAGAATCATAGCGGAAAGTACTTGGATGTCGCGCAGGATGAGAATTTATCACAGTCTCCAACTCACTCGTCCGGGTACTTGTCTGAACCGCGACCTTTGGTGGATCCCCGGAGCCGCAGTTCCTCTACATCCAGTAAGACTGGCAAAACGGAGGGAGTAAGCGGCGTACCGAACTACTCGAAGCCCAACTTGACTCCTTCCTTTGCGCACGGAGAGAGAAAGGGCTCCGAGATGAGGACCAGAGACGCTCAAAACGCCCCGAGACGTGATCGCTCGCCTCGGAATGCTGCCAGATCAAACGGTCCAGAAGCTAGAGGTCCTACTAGTCGTCCGTACATCTTCAGATCGCTTGAGGAATATATCATCACGTCATTCAAAGGCTGTGACTGTCTGAACAGCTCCTTTACCACAGCACAGCCGGCCCCGCGGCATGCTGTTAACAGCAGCCCACCAAAGCAGAAAGCGGAACCAAGCTCTGCTCAGGCCCCCAGTGAGGTAACATTTGAACCCGATCCGAAGCTACTGCTTCTTGGAGACATTGCAGAGAATTCCTCCTGGTGGATGAACGAAGTAGAACAGATTAGTAGCTCTCATCGGTCCCGCTCGAAAGAGCGCCGGGAGAAGACCTCTAGTTCATCTAGGCCTGTTTCTTCTAGGAGCCCTCGGATTAATTGGGCAGAACTTGCACAGTGGCACCACCTGATCATGACGGCGGGAACGTCATGGGTGGAGCTGTGGTCAACAATGAAGCCTACAGAGATGAAGAGGGAAGAAGACGCCGTTATAGCCCAGGAGTGGACTACCACCGACCTGGCTATGGTTGACAGAGAGATTACAGAGTCGCGCTTACATTTACACCGAACGCTCTTGAAAGCGACCGAGAACCTGCTAAAACGGCCCAGACGGCCATTAAAGAGGCCCGAGGATACCAGGTTCCTACTGATGCTACTGACGAACCCGTTGATTTACCCATCCAGTTCATCGTTCGCATCTTACAGTCTGGCGCCTTCGGCGGCCCGTGGTGACCGGAGGCCCTCGCACCCGAAAGATGGCACTCCAAGACCAGCTCCTCGGAATCCAAAGCCCCCATCAAAATCCCGCAGTAATGGCCCGGGGCATCATTATGGCATTGTCAAGCGGATATTGGGGCTTTTGGCCAATTTACCGAATGACTGCCATCACTACTTGGTGTCCTGGTTCTCGCGGTTCTCGGCTGGGCAATTTGAGAAGATCGTGGACCTTGTTGGGGGGTTTGTTACTCATCGGTTAATGCGTCAACATGGGAGGAAGCGCAGCGAGTCGACTCAGCACGATGATGACTTGGTGCCCAGCTTCTCTAGTGCCGCGGGCCATACTCCGGCCGAGCTGCATGCGGCGATCAATGGCAGAAGCCCCAACAAAGCAAATGAGCAGCGCGACCAGCCCGTGGTCTACACTGATGACTGGCAGGTGCGAGCTGCGGCGCGAGTGATGTCTCTGCTCTTCACGGCGAACAATGCGAACGTTTCCCGAAAGCCGGACGGCGTCCTTGGCCAAGATGCGAGTTCTGTGGCTAGAAGTCAGGCCAGCCGGCGGGGGCATATGATTCCGATCAGTTCCTTTTACAATACACTGCTAGACTATTCCGACCTTGTCGCCGACTTTGAGGCCTGGGAGTCGAAGACGACCAAGTTCTCCTTCTGCCAATACCCTTTCTTCCTGAGCATCTGGGCCAAGATCCATATCCTGGAACACGATGCACGCCGGCAGATGGAGGTCAAAGCTCGCGAAGCGTTCTTTAACAGCATCATGAGTCGCACGGCGATCAGCCAGTATCTTGTGCTGAAGGTGCGCCGCGACTGCTTGGTGGAAGACAGTCTGCGGGGAGTCAGTGAAGTGGTTGGCTCTAGCCAGGAGGAGATCAAGAAGGGACTACGCATCGAATTCCTCGGTGAAGAGGGCGTTGATGCGGGAGGTCTCCGCAAGGAATGGTTCCTGCTCCTTGTCCGGGAAGTCTTTGATCCTCACCACGGTAAGTACACGTTGATTGTCAGCCAAAACATGCAATGAGCCACTTAATTGACTTTCTTATAGGGCTATTTATCTATGATGACGACTCGCGATACTGTTATTTCAATCCATACTGCTTCGAGTCCTCGGAGCAGTTCTTCCTGGTCGGCGTCCTACTGGGACTGGCCATTTACAATTCGACCATCCTCGACATTGCACTGCCACCGTTTGCCTTCAAGAAGCTCCTGGCTGCGGCACCGCTGTCGTCAATTACACGGCCTACGTACAAGTGCGGCCTGGATGATCTGGCGGAGCTCCGCCCGGCGCTTGCCAAGGGTCTACGGGCGCTGCTTGACTACGAAGGGGACGTTGCGGAGACGTTCTGCTACGACTTTGTTGCGCAGGTAGATCGTTACGGCGAAACAGTGTCGGTACCCCTTTGCGCCGGAGGGGAGAATCGGCCGGTGACCAATGCGAACCGCCGGGAGTTCGTGGACCTGTATGTACACTTTCTCCTAGACACGGCGGTCACACGGCAGTTCGAGCCGTTCAAACGGGGGTTCTTCACTGTCTGCGGCGGCAATGCACTCTCTTTGTTTCGTCCGGAAGAGATCGAGCTACTGGTGCGCGGTTCGGACGAGCCGCTGGACGTGGCGTCCCTGCGGGCGGTTGCCACGTATGACAACTGGTCCAATACACGGCCAGAGACAGAGCCGGTGGTCCGGTGGTTTTGGGATTTCTTCGAACAGACACAGCCGCAGGCGCAACGGAAGATCCTGTCGTTTGTGACGGGAAGCGACCGCATCCCCGCTATGGGGGCGACGAGCCTGTCGATCCGGCTGGTGTGTCTTGGGGACGAGACGAGCCGATTCCCGACGGCGCGGACGTGTTTCAACCAGCTAGGACTGTATAAATATGAGACGCGGGAGAAATTGGAGCGCATGCTTTGGGATGCGGTGTTGAATAGCGAGGGGTTCGGGCTGAAGTAGAGACGGGAGCAGGACTCCCTTAATTGCGAGCCTTGGCACTGGCGTCTGGGACATCATTCGGGGCATCGGGCATTAACAGCATTAGCACTAGTTTTATTTTTGAGTATTGGGGCGTTTTCTTATTTCAATTCTTGTACGAGGTTTTGGGGGTGGTGAGATTCGTCCGGGGTGCATTTGGTAGACGGGGCTGGACCGGGTTGATGGCCTGCGGGGGAAGACGAGATGCATCCGCGGTGTACG